ACAAAACTCAAAAGCATTTGGGGGGAAAAAAAAGGGGAACCAGGTTTGCTGGTCTGATAGAGCCTGGTGGAACCACTGAAACTATGGCCCTGAGCTGCCCTTTAGGTCTGGAATTGAACCCACACCTGTGGCTCCCAGTCAAACAAAAGACAGGCATATAACTTGAACATTTACTTGAGGTAAATTCACTCCTTGCAGAGAACAATCATGGGAGAAGGAAGGGCTGTTTATGCACAGGGAGACAGCTCAGAGGGCAGGAGTGCATGGAGGGATGGGCATAGGGAAGAAGTAATTATCGGAAGGAAGTGGGAGGGGAGCTGTTGCATTGGGGTAAATTGTAGTCAATGTCACGAGACAAAGTGTATGTGAACTGCTGTATGGAAAGTGAATTTGCTTTGTAAATTTCCACCCAAATCACAATTAAAAAAAATAAAATAAAATCTATGGTGGAATTTACTGTGAGCAGCTAAGTAGCTGCCTTATGGATGTGGTCTACTTCCAGTATGTAAGAAGACTCTGAGATAGGTCTCAACTTTTTGGCATGCTAGGACCCTGCCATGCAGCCTGCCAATCTTGGGATTGTTTATGAATTTGAACTAGTGGCCTGCTGTGTTGCTGAATAATCTTGGTACTTGTGTCATTTTACCTGTCAACCTTGGGTTTGTCAGTCTGAGTAGCCAGCAGCTGCCTGAGGTAAGAGAAGCCTCCAGTTCCAGCAGGCCGGGAGCAAGAGGCAGAGCTGAAGTCCAAGGTGAAGGGGACTTTACCAAGCCCCTAGAACTTGGCACTTTGAACTCAGACTTCTAGCCTCCTACACTGTAAGACAAATTGTTTCGTTCTGTTGTACACAGGGTTGCTATGAGTCAGAGACGACTTGATGGCACCTAACAATAACAACAAACTCTAAGAGAATAAATCCCAGTTTGTTAAAGTCATCCCATTTGTGGTATTTTCTGTTAGAGTGGCACTAGAGAAACAAAACAGAATTTGGTACCAAGAGAATGGGATGCTGCTCTAACAGACACCTGAAATGTGGAAACAGGAGTGAAGCATATACTTGGACCCAAGATCTCTGTGCTGAGAGGATGGCAGAGAGATGGTGGCAGCAAAGCTAACAGACCAGCATGAGACAGAGCAACAGGCTTACCAGCCCACAGCAGAGAAAGCTTGATGCCTTTGGGCAGGAGGCTTCCTGAAAGAGTAGGTTGTCTTTGGGCACTAATTGGTAGAGACCACCATGAGAGAGAGCCACAGGTTTGCTGGCCCATGAAGACAGAAAGCTGAGTACATCTGGGCAAGAAGTTTCCTGGTGGAATGGGTTGCCTTTGGGCATTAATTGGAGAAGCTGAGAGACCAAGGAAATGTGAAGCAGAGCTGCCTCAGTCTCAAAGGGTAGGACCATGGCCTCTGAGGGTGGAACCACAACAGCCCCCTAGGTTTCAAAGTGTCAGATCTTACCAACTTGGTTCTGGAGTGTGGGGCTGCTCGTTCATATGGGCCAGTGGATGGGGCCATAGCTGCTGCCCAAAAGTGAGGGGGCAGAGCTGCCATGCTCAAGGAGAAGAGGAACAGGACCTGCCAACCCAAGGGGGTAAGGTCACCACTCAGATGGCCTAGGAGACTCAGGCCACTCAATAAAGGAGATCTGTGTAGGTGTCAAGATGAAAAGAGGTGGAATTGTGGTAGTTTAGGTTATATGTCAATGTGGCTGGGCAGCTGGATGTAGCTATTCCCCATGATGAGACTGTGAGTCAATACCATGGTGGAATCTACTGTGACAGCTGAGTAGCAGCTGCCTTAGGGATGTGGTCTGCTTCCTGTATATAAGAAGTTTTGAGAAACATCTTAAGCTTTTTGGCATGCTTGGAGCCTGCCATTTAGCCAAGTTTCCATTCAGCACCCTGCTGTGCTGCCTGCTGATCTTGGGACTGTTTCTAGACTTAAACTAGTGGCCTACTGTGTTGCTTAATAATCTTAGGACTGTGCCATTTTACTTGTTGACCTTGGGTTTGTCAGCCTCAGCAGCCAGCAGCTGCCTGAGTAAAGGGAAGCCACCAGCTGAAGCGGGCCAGAAGCAAGAGGCAGAGCCCAAGGTCAAGGGGCCTTCCCCCAGCCCCTAGAGCTTGGCACTTCAGACTCAGACTTCTAGCCTCCTAAACCCTCAGGGAATAAATCCCTGTTTGTTAAAGCCATTCATTTGGGGTATGTCTGTTATGGCAGCATTAGAAAACCAAAACAATAATAATGACAAACTTTTGCCTAGTCATTTTGGGTGTTTCCAACGGAAAGTGCAAGGCAGAGCCCGTGTGCTTTGGAATCCAGCAAAGGGCTAAGAACTCATTAACCCAAGAATAAACTGTTTCACTGTAAACCCTCCTCTTCAGCAATGCACTCTCTCTAAAGTAGATGCTCATCAAACACATTCTAAACTTTCAAATTTTCCCCTGAAATCCAGATAGACAGACATTATGCTTTCAGAAAGCATAGAGAGAGCCCAGGCACTGCCTGATTTGCAGGTGGTACCATAAGAAAGGGCGTTCTGGTGGTGTAGTGCCTAAGGCATTTGACTCCTAACCAAAACGCTGGCGGTTTAAACCCATAGAAAAGCTAGGAATCTTACCTTCCTCAAAAAAGCGAGCTTGATGAAAACAGTAAGGCTCTCAGATTTTTGAGTGATTTCATTATGACAACACTCAAATAGGGGAGATTTTCTTGGGCTTAAATGTTTTTAAAAAGAAAGGTCAGTGTGGGCTTGGGACCATAGTCGCAGGGGACATCAAGCTCAATTGGCATAACATACTATACAAAACACTGTCCACCTCCTACTTTGGTGAGTAGCCCCTGGGATCTTAAAAGCTTGCAAGCAGCCATCTAGATGCAACGATGGGGCTCTCCTCATCTCTCCTCATCTTCTTCATTCAAAGAAGAATAAAGAAAACCAAAGATTCATGGAAACAATTAGTCCTAGCAACTGGTACACCGTGCAATCCTCAGCCTATATAACTATGAGACCAGAACTAGATGGTGCCTGGCTACCACTGTCAACCACTCAGAAGGGGATCTATGTAGGAGATCCTGGATAGAGAGGGAGAACAATGTGGAACAAAACTCAAAAGCATTTGGAGAAAAAAAAAGGGGGTGAGGGGACCAGGTTTGCTGGTCTGACAGAGCCTGGTGGAACCACTGAGACTATAGTCCCTAGCTGCCCTACAGGTCTGGAATTGAATCCACACCTGTGGCTTCCAGCCAAACAAAAGATAGGCATATGAGTTGAACATGTACCTGAGGTAGATACACTCCTTGGAGAGATCAATCATGGGAGAAAGAAGGGCTGCTTATACACAAGGAGACAGTTCAGGAGGCAGGAGTGCAAGGAGGGATCAACACAGGGAAGAGGTAACTATTGGGAGGGAGTGGGAGGGGAGCTGTTGCATTGGGGTAAATTGTAGTCAATGTCATGAGACAACATGTGTGTGAACTGCTCTATGGAAAGTGAATTTGCTCTGTAAACTTTTACCCAAATCACAATTCAAAAAAGAAAAAAAAGTCAGATTTCTCAGTATATTCAAAAACCAGCAAAGCACACCACCTTCCTGTACTGAGCTCTCAAATATATAAACAGGGGGAACTCATTGTCCAAATACATCTATATGAAGCACAAAGCCTGTCTTTGGGTGGACTCCAACCTCCAACCTTTTGGTTTGTAGCTGAGTGCTTAACCATTTTTGCCACCCAGGGACTCCTAAATCCCGTCCACTTGTTACTTACTGAAGATCATGAGCATCATGTTGGAGGGGAGGGAGTGGTGACAGCTAACAACTCTTCCTAGAACTACTGCCAATTTCCAATTCCAAACCAAGAAAGAACTTCCCATTCTAGTCAGAATTCTAAATTTAAAAACACTTCTATGCTTGTGATATTTTCCATATAACATGTTTTATATGTCATCTTTTTACATTAACATACATTAATTTATCTTTTTTGGTGTCTATGTCAGTGGATTTTAACACATATAGATTCCTAATGTTCACCATCACCAGTCAGGATACAGAACAGTTAGTTCTGTCATCCCCAAAACTCCCTTGGGCTAACTCTTTGTTGACACACCCTCCCAGCTCCCTTTGGCGACCACAGATCTGTCCCTGTCTCTGGAGTTTCCCGATGACTATTCAGTTTCAAAAGACTCAAATCTGTCTTCATTTATAAAAATTCCTCAAAAAAATTAACGGAAACATTACTAATTTAAAGCCTAGTGCCATTTACTTGTAAAAAATTTTAAAAGTCACTTCTTCAGTGACCTCTAATGGAAAGAAATAAAAGAAAAATTCTTGATAAAGGTGTACCCTATTTGTGCCACAAGTTAGTTCCTCCTGTCTACAGGATGTTTATGGATGAAATATTTGCTTCTTTTAACCTCATTTACCACTCGACTTCAGTTCCAAAGTCTGAATACAAGGGGGCTCCTTCAATATCTACTCTGCGATATTTTTTCTCTTCTATTCACCATACTATCAATCAGTTAATAAACTTTTAAATATTCCTTCATGCAGAGAAGACACTTTGTATTTAACTGAGATAATCACCTCCTAATTTATCTACAATGTCTACATTTCATTAAGGCCAGCAAGCTAATCCTCAGACATGAGGCAGAGACAGGCTACACCTTTTTTCTTTCTTCTTATTTTGTTAACTGAAAATAAAAGGACCTTAGTATCCAGGAAGTTCCAGGAGAGGGACACCTCTTTAGACTGACACCATGCCCTAGCTGTAATTCATTAGTCATTTTGTGTACCAATGACACTATTTATTGTGCACAGATTAGAATGAATTTAAGACACTTCAAGAAGTAGGTAGGTGGGAAACAGTAAAACATTAAAGGCCATGTGAATCATCTGATTCCAAAAACTTACTCTGCAGTTATTAAAAGCTGAGCTCAGAACAAATGATGAAAAACAATTCCCCTAGCACATACACTCACACACACATACAGGTACACTTACACATTAGTGTGAAGCTGGAATTCATCAGTCTTATAACCAACTGCAAAGTTGCTCTGGGTCACGCGGGACTTGGCAGTCTCAAAGTTCATCTGGTAGCCTGCTAGCCAGCCCTCATAACCCAGTACCACAGCACCGCGGATGGAAGGCCCGGCAATGTCAAAATCCACGTCACAGCCCAGGTTGATATGTTCTCGCTTATACCCTGTCTTGATTTTAGCATTTTTTTTCCTGAAAGAAAGGAAATGGTATTAAAATCAGAAGTTAGCTCACCTTGGGATAATCATGCCAAGAAATGCACTTGATTAAAAAAAAAAAAAAGAACAACCAGTTTAAATAAATGGGGCAAGTAGGGTGGCAAAGCCAGAACCCCAGGTCTCTCAAGTAGATGCTGGGCCACAAGTGAGCAAGACGACACAACTGTTCTTCAACTGGAATCCAGTTTGCAGAAATGCCACAATAATAAAGTGAGAACACGTGCAGGAAAAGCTTGAAAAATAAGAGTTATCTTCTCCCTGTGCTTAAAGTAGAAGCCTATATTAGAGCATGACTGGTATTTATTAGGTAGAGAGCCATCATGGAATCATGAAACAGATGCATCTTTACTATAACCCAATAATTTTTTGGAAAAGATATTATCTGCCATGAAGGCAGCCAACTCAACATCAGCATTTTAAGGACATGGTCATTTTCTTACTTTGTAGCTCACCAGTAAGCAAAGAAACAAATAGCAGATCACTTCTAAGTGAATACAACAGTGAGAGGTCTTTTAATTTGGTACTCAGGAGATTCAAATGCATACATAATATTTCAGAGGACTGGGCAGTAGCGTGGAACCTGGGGCTCTGCAGTCATGGGGCCAGGAAGTCCTGTTTGACCAGTAAGACCCCAGGCCCTGCCTGCTGGTCCCACATTTGAATAAATGACCTATCCAGTGCCTCCTTGCCTACTGCTGAGACCCAGCTAGCTGAGTTGTGTCATCTGCCAATATATTATCATCATGTCTTTTACCAAAAATAAACATTGGAAAGCAAGAGCACGTCTATCAAATAAAATTTGGTCTACTTTCATCCAATTATCCCTGCCATTCAAAATGAGCTCTGGTGGTGCTATAGCTAAAGCACTGGGCTGCTAACCAAAAGGTTCCTGTCATCCAGCTACAAAAGGGACAGACTCCCACAGGAAGCTGCACTCCCAGCAGAGGCCACAGGAGGAACTAGATCTGCTCAGAGGCCCAAGGACTACATAGTTGGGCTGGCTACCCCAGCTTCATTCACACTGAAAGTAAAGCTTCACCTCCAACCAAAAAAATTAAACCAAACCCAATGCCAATGAGTTGATTCTGAGTCATAACAACCCTATAGGACAGAGTAGAACTGCTCCGTAGGGTTTCAGAGGCTGTACATCTTTATGGAAGTGGACTGTCTCATCCTCCTTCCATGGGACTGGTGGGTTCAAACTGCCGACCTTTTGGTTAGCAGCCAAATGCCTCAGTCACTACATTACCAGTGCTCCTTTCATTCCCATCACTAGGCTCTTAAATATCATTCTCTCCTAAAAGGAACCAGTGTTCCTTGGAAAAATAGCTATCTGCAGGCCTGGGACAGGAAATGTAAAAGGAGAGCCTGAAACATCCATCAAAGCTAACACAGACTACTAGGGTTGGGTCAAAAGGACTTAGGAGCTAACCTGCAAAGATTCCCAGGAACTTCAAAGATTGGATGATTTGAGCATCAATAAGAATAATACCAGCGGGGTAAGAGGTGAAGGAAGAGTAAACCACTAAGCAGAGGTAGATCGTTGAATGAAAAACTGATTTGCTCTGTAAACTTTCATGCAAATCACAACAAAAAGTTAAAAAAAAAAAAAAATCAGCAATGGACTGAAAGATACCTAATATGTTTAAATCCATGAATTTATAACACTCAGAACATACACACTAAAGAATCAACTTGTTATTTTGAAAACAGTAGATAAAAATATAAACTTTTATACCACCTTTCCTATACTAACCCATACCAGGTGATACCAAAATGACTGTCAGAGGGGATGACACCAAAACGACTATAAAATTTTTGTGCAGTGTTTCAGCAGGAAATTTTTATAAAAATATTCCTATAGTTAGCTATAACTACAAAAACATTTTTTGTAAGCCCACTTTACATATATCAATATACTGACAAGGCTAAAACTCTATACTAATTTACTTTTTGACCCTTCTAACAGAGCTGTTACTATTACCCAATTTCAACGAATGATGTCTAAAATTACATGGGTTTAACTATATATGCTATAACCATGTCCTGTTGTTTTCATTGCTGCTGTTTTTACAACTGTTGATTTTGTCAAATTTTCCAGTGTTTTAACTACAATATTGTGCTAATTAGTAGCTATGAACCTATATCAATAACTTTTTTGAAGATGAAGCAGCAGTAATAGGAAAAGGAGGATAACAATAAAAAGAGGCTTCTGCTCAGTTACTAATAATGTTGTAACTAATAATGTCATTCAATGTAGGGAGATTTTACAAGATAATTTTGTTACTAGTATTCATATAATCTAAGAAATATTAAAGTCGAGCAATTTATATTTATCACATATTATTCTATGGTTCAAATTAACAATAAACTTTATGAAGGATTCTGTATGATCTGGTACAAGAGGAGCCCCATAGGGGGGTACGGTGACATCATGAGTTACTGCACTAGGTAACAACAATCCTAGTAATGCCACTGGACTAACCACCTCAAGGTAATCAAATAGTTCATAAGTTTTTCTTTACTTAAATAGTCCAGCTAACAAATGAAGGAAAAATGATAAAAATGGATTTATCACTCTTTTGCATATACTTTTGCAATAATACTCCTAATGAGTATTAGAGTGGCATTAGTATCAGAAAAAGGGACAACCAGGCCTTATAACACATCCTACCAGAAGCACAGACCACCACCTATAAAGCATTTTTACCTTCACTCCAAATGGAATATAAACACGATGAAGCCTCTATACTTACCAATTCACAGGAAATACTGGGGACAAAGAAACAAGTTAAATGACATATGGAGATGCAAGCATCAAAATTTAGTCTGTGTGTAACTTTACAGGTCAAATAACCAGTTTCGTCAACAAATAAATTACAATGGAAAAAAAGAAGAGGGGGAATCTAGAGTAACTTAGGAGATCTATGAACCAATTGCAAACCATGGGCAATTTTTGATTCTGTAAGAAAACCCATGGAGACTTCTGGGAAGATGGAGGACTAGGCAGACAAGTGACACAGACCCTCTTCAACAAAGAAAAGAAAAACCAATTGACAGAGATACAGAAGATAACCCTGGAACCCTGAGCAGCTTTGAAAGGAAGTATATAGAAGTGGATTAGGCACCAACTAGTGGAAAAACCTGAAAGAAAACAGTGAGTACAGACATGGTCGAAGCTGCAGACTGTCAGCTACTCTGACAGGATCAATAACATGAATATTTCCAAGTGGTGTTGGGACCTAAAAATTGACCTAAAGATCAGCCCTGGTCACCAAGGGCTGCAGGGAAAACTGCACTAGTGGCCTATGACTAGGAAAGGAAACAGCAAGGAGGGAGACAACCTGAGCTGCTGACTTTCCATGGTCCAGAGGGTGCAACCATATTGATTGTTTACACACAGCAGCCATTTTGGATATTTAAAGTGACGGAGAGCGCAGCCATTTTGAATGTTTATAAGCGGCAGCTATTTTGGATATTTAAAGTGACTGAGGGTGCAGCCATTTTGATTGTTTATAAGCAGGGGCCATTTTGGATATTTAAAGTGACTGAGGGCACAGTCATTTTGAATGTTTACAAGTGGCAACTATGTTGGATTTTAAAGTGACAGTATTCTCAATCAGATTCCAGAGACCTAAGAATAGGCTCTGTTTGCCAAGGTCGGCAGGGACATGCAAGAAGCTGACAACAGGAAAGGAAACAGGTGGTGAGTGTATAAGTGCTGTCAACTAGTGAATAGAGGAGCACAGCACAGTACCCTGCTTGCGTAGATAACATACAAAGAAAACAAAAATCGTGGGCAAATCACTACAACATACAATCACCAATTAAATATAAACAAAAATCATCACAATGCCTCGGAGACAACAACATCACAGTCCACACAAAGAAGCAAGATAAAGCAGGAGAAACAAGGGACCAGGATACAGACCCAAAACGCATCCCTGATGAAGACTCAGCACTGGAATTCCCTGTTAAGAAATTAAAAAGAATTATATTTAGGTGTCTTCAAAGGATTGAGAGACAGAGCAAGGAAAACAGAGAAAACCCTAGAAGAATTTCAGAAGAAAATACAAGAACAAGATGACAAAATAAATGAAAAACTAGAAATGATTCTAATCTACAGATGGAAATTCAGAAGATTAATACTAAATTGTCAGAAATAGGTAACACATTGAAAGGGAAAAGGAGTAGAATTGAAGCAATGGAAGACAGAATTAATGAGATTGAAGACAAATACCTGAATACTTCTTTGGAAAGGGATCAATCAGAAAAAAGATCAAAACAAAATGAAGAAAGTCTAATGTTCATGTGGGATACCATCAAAAGGAATAACCTATATGTCATTGGAATTCCAGAACAGGAAGACACAAATAAGACCACTGAGAAAATTGTCCAAGATTTGTTGGAAGAGAACTTCCCTGACATGATGAAAAATGAGAATATACCTATTCAGGAAGTTCAATGAACCCCAAACAGGCTAGACCCCAAAAGAAAAATCACCAAGACACATCATCATCAAACTCACCAAAACCAAAGACAAAGAAAGAATGATGAGAGCAGCAGGGGAAAAACAAAAAGTTACCTACAAGTGGCAACAAATAAGACTAAGCCTGGATTTCTTGGCAGAACCCATGCAGGTGAGAAGACTAGAATGGTATATATAAAACTCTGAAAGAGAAAAATTTCCAACCAAGAATTATGTACCCAGCAAAACTGTCCCTCAAATATGGTGAAATTAGGACATTTCCAGATAAGTGGAAATTAAGGGAATTTGTTCAAACCAGACCAACCTTACAAGAGATGCTAAAGCGAGCCCTTTGGACAGATAAGCAACAACAGCCAACAACAACTGACCATTAACACACATGATGATATAACCCAGAAACCAACCCAGCTATGGAAGTATCCAAAGTAAAGAAACCTACAAGATTATAAACAGGGAACCAGAGACATTAATTGACAAATGAGGAC